CCCCCCGGCCGCTGGAGAAGACCCCCCCTACATGTCCCGAGTGCAACAAAAGCTTCAAGCACCAGTCAGCATTGGCTGTCCATGCACGGAGACACACGGGTGAGCGGCCGTTCATCTGCACTGACTGCGGGAAGCGCTTTGGCCACAAGCATCACCTGCTGAGACACCAGCACGTTCACACCAGTGAGAAGCCGTTTGCCTGCAGCCACTGTTGCCATCACTTCAGCCAGGAGCGCCATCTGGTCATCCACCAGCGCATCCACACTGGGGAGCGCCCCTTCGCCTGTACCCACTGCCCCAAGGCCTTCATGTACAAGAAGAACCTCACAGCCCACAAGCGAAGCCATGCTGGGGAACGCCCCTTCACCTGCAACCAGTGCCCAAAGGCCTTTAAGGACAGCAGTAGCCTTACAGCCCACCAGTGGGTCCACACAAGTGACTACCCTTTTGCCTGCACCCAGTGCCCCAAGGCCTTCATGTACAAGAAGACTCTCACTGCCCACCAGCGCATCCATTCTGGGGAGCGCCCCTTTGCCTGTGCCCACTGCCCCAAGACCTTCAGGTACAAGAAGACACTCAGGGACCACCAGCGTATCCACTCTGGGGAGCGCCCCTTCGCCTGCACCCACTGCCCCAAGGCCTTCAGAGACAGCAGTACCCTCACTGTCCACCAGCGCATCCACACTGGGGAGCGACCCTTTGCATGCCAGCAGTGCCCCAAAGCCTTCAGGGACAAGAAGACCCTCACTGTCCACCAGCGCATTCACTCTGGGGAGCGACCCTTCGCCTGCACCCACTGCCCCAAGGCCTTCAGAGACAGCAGTACCCTCACTGCCCACCAGCGGGTCCACACCGGTGAGAAGCCCTACAAGTGCAGCGAGTGTGGCAAGACCTGCAGCCAGAAGCATAACCTGAAGAGGCACCAGCGGGTGCACCGGATCTCATCGGCAGTGCCACAGAGTGTCCAGTGGGAGGGTGGGGGTCCATCCCTAACGGAAAGAAGGGCAGAGGATGAGCCCTTCCAGTGCGGCCACTGCGAGACGCAGGCTCAGGACGAGGGGATCATGCTGGCTCAGCAGCAAACCCACAGCACTCCCAGCCTGGGGCCACCTCCGCAGCCCAGCAGCACCTGAAACTGCTGTTGAGGGGCTGTGGGGTGCCAGGGACTGTGGGGAGATGTCCTGGTTTCAGCTGGGATAGAGTTAATTTTCCTCATGGTAGCGGGTATAGTGCTGTGTTTTGGATTTGGGATGATAACAGACTGCTGTTTTGGTTGTTGCTCAGCAGTGTTTACCAGGTCAAGGACTTTTCAGCTTCTCCCACTGCCCCACCAGCGAGGAGGCTGAGGGTGCACCAGAGGACGGGAGGGAACACGGACAGGACAGCTGACCCAGACTGGCCAAAGGGATATTCCATACTATATGGCATCGTGCTCAGTATATCAACTCGGGGGGAGCTGGCCGAGGGCGTGATTTCTGCTCAAGGCTGGGTTGGGCGTTGGTCAGCAGGTGGTGAGCAATTGCATTGTGCATCTCTCGTTTCCTATATTCTTTTATCATTATTATTTTCTCTTCCTTTGTTGTCCTATTAAACTGTCTTTATTCGAACCCATGAGTTTTACTTTTTCTTCAAATTCTCCTCCCCATCCTACCGAGGGGGAGGAGTGAGCAAGTGGCTGCGTGAGACTGAAGGGTTGAAATAACAACAGATCTGACCAGAGCATTTTTTAAAAAAGTTGTGGGTTCCTCCTCTTCCTCGGAGAGGAAAAACTCATAAGCAAGACAGTAACCACCTAATCTCAAACCCTGAGTGAGCTGCGAGATGTGCAACAGGATTTCATCCGTCGTCCAGGGGAGCACCTGGCTGCTCTGGTCCTGGGATAATGGGGCCAGTAGCCTGGAACTGGAGGGAAGGGAAGCCAAGCAGCTGGGATCCCTGTCCAGGGAAGGGGGCATGGACAAGGCGTGAGGGAAAGGTGTCCCTTCAGTGAAGATGTTGTATGTCACCCAGGCAAGTGGACCACCATGGAGAGAGGTATCCAGTCCCTGAGGGAATTAGCCATGTGGGAGATGGTTTATGATGACCTGGACAACGCACAGTTACCCACAGATCTTGATGAAGTCCAACGTACCCAACCCATGTGGCGGACGTTTGTCCGGGAAGGTCCAGCAACTCAAAGAGAATCTGT